CAAAGGAAAGGAAAAAAAGTCAAACCAATTTTGAGAATGGGAAGACTTTTAAATTTATTTCGTTTGTATTCACATTTACATGTGAATATTGTGCCCAAGTAATTTGATATATTCTAATTCAATTTCCTCATGTGAGTACTGTTGGTAGGTTTTTACTATATTGAAAATTTGTTCATCTAGAAGTCTTTGCTTTGCAGGTGGCAAATTTTTTACTCCTTTTCCCAAGTTCAGGTCCCGCAACATGTACTCAAAATCGGCTTGTTTCTTTTGTAAATCTTTAAGAAACTGATACAGGCTTGGATGACTTCGTCCGACTAAAATTTGGAATGTATTGTGCCACCCTTCCGAGTCATTGTTGGTACGAGCAGTTTCCTGAAGCACTGAGTGGTAGTGGATCCAAAGAGACGGATCATAATGTACTGCCTTTACTGCCTTTCTTCTTCTGACAGCAAGAATACCACGAATGTAATTAACTTCAAATGTGACTTCCAAAACTTTTGCGTATGCTTTTTCCTTCTTGCTTTCTAGGAGGGAGTAAACAAAAGAAAAAGCAATTTTTCGTTCTATGCCCTTTTTAACTTACAGAACAGATCCCATTACTGTAAAGAGCTGAAAGAAAATGGAAGGAACCGTTTAAAAATTACCATCCAGGTACCATATATCCGATTTAAAAAGGTTCTTTAAATTTTCACGCGTTTTAAATACTAAATTTCTCCCCTAGCTCAAATTATATTCTTCATCGCTATATGAATCGAATATATAAAAATTTTCACCCATCAAATTTTTGTAAATATATCAGGCAAGTCTTCCAGATCTTTGATACTTATAGGGTTAAAAGGCATTAATCTCAAGCGTTCTCGTTGAATCGTTTTATGTATATTAGGCATCTCGGTCAACTGTGCTTGTACAGCTTTTATCTCATTTTGCGCTTCTCGTATTACTGCAGATGGTGGACGTTTAGGATGAGTCTGTGCTGCTCACTGCACGTAAAATAAAAACAAATTTTTTTACAAATTAAAAAATATTCCATCCAAAAATATTTCTTTATACATTTACATTAATTTTTTTATTTACCTTTATTCTAGACATTATACGTAAAGCTTTAATTTCTTCAGGGTTAGGTCCATGACCGATATGAGACTCAGCTGAACCACCTTTTCTAATCATTACAATTTGCCCTCCACTTACAGTAGTCAAACGTGCTGCACAAGTTTTATTATTTTTGCACTTCCAATATTTTACATCACCTCTAGCATAAGATCTAACATAAAGAAAACCTTCAAAATGTTCATAAGTGTTTCGACCTTTCACAATAATTTCTAATTCTTGTAGAACCATTGTGCTTTAAACACGTTGCAAATTCAAATTTTATATTTTATAATTTTCACAATTTAAAATGAATATATAACGATAAAAATGACTTTTAACATTATAATTTTGAAAATTTTAAATGAATGTGAACGACGCAAGAGAGATTGACAGAAGATTAAAAAAAAGACAACCGCATAAATAAAAATGATAATTTCACATTGCTTATTTTTTTGAATTTGTTTAATTTTTGATTTTTTTACATTGAACATTTTGATCAAGACATAAAATCTAGTCCAAAAAATCCAAGATAAACAAATTTTTTTGGACTTCATTGACTCTGGACTTTTTGTCTAGGTACCCAAATTGATCAGTTGCTTAAAAATCTAAATATAGTAAAACATTTCGTCAACAAAATATAAAACCGAACGACCGATAATGTTAGAGAAAAAGAATCTATTTTTGACGTTGATAATAGTACACTGTATCGCGAAATTGTTAAAAAGCATTCTAACGCTATGACTTATACATTTTCCACGGATGAAGCAGCTGCTAAAAATCCTTTAAAGTGTAAGACAAAATGTTGGCTAATTCAATTATTATTTAAAGAATTACCGATTTCTATGAGATTCGTTCTATTGAATGCCGCAATATTTCAACAAGATCCTAATAGTAAATTATTAAATATATTTCTAAAAGGTTTTATTGCTCAAGCCTTAGAGTTGAGTGAAATCGATGTTCCTGTAGTTCATGATGGCAAACGATCATCCGAATCTCATAAATGTGATTCGAAAACAGTGTCATAATCAAGTTGCTTAATTCGTTCTAAAGGAGTTAAAGGAGAATCCGTTCTACGCTCTATAGCCGAATCTGATATAATTTGGGGATTTTGTTTTGATTATCTTCATACTGCTCTCTTGGGTCCACTTAAAGGTATTACTCGTAGCACTTTTTTTCTAAACAGATTATTAAAAAAATGGATGAAAGATTTTAGAACCAGTTCTATGAAATGCGGTTTTTTTCAATTTTTTATCTTAGTCGGTTAAAAAGAAAAAAAGTTATAAGCCTTTTTTTAAAATTTTGAATAAACTTTTAAACATTTTTATTCCATGTATATAAAGGAACAAATTCAGAAAGTATGATAAACCCATTAAGGACCAAACGGACAAAATATTAGTGTTGAATTCGAGGGGATTCTTTTGTATGAAAAAGACCCTTAAAAAACTAGTATATACCATACCTAATGTAAAATTTATCGCTCTTTCAGATTCCGTTGTCAAAATTTGTTTATAACAATTATGAAAAAAAGTTATGATTATTTTAAAAAAACACTATTTTTCGAGAAAAAAATTTCATTTAATGGATATTTTCACATAAAAAAAGAAAGGATATTGTCTCGAGAGCTCAAAATATCGCGTCCATGGACCCTCAGCTACAAAAAGTATCATAAGATAATTTTTAATTTTAAGATGGCGGTCGACAAAATGGCGGCTAAACCTCGAAAAGTGGTCCACAAAAGTCCCAACGTGTTAAATAGATGAAAACTCAAATGCACATGCATGAAAATTAATTTGGTAGAGTTTTCCTGATCGCTGATTACAAATATAATTGTAATTTTAAAAAAATCAAAATGGCGGATCCAATATGGCGAACGAATTTTTCAAAAATTTTGCTAAATTCACGTGAAACTTGTTACTCGGGGGGTTTTTGGGGTCGCTGATTGCGAATATAAAGTTAGTTTTCTAAAATTCAAAATGGCGGATCCAATATGGCGGACGAATTTTTAAAAATTAACTGAATTCGCTTGAAACTTGTTACTCGAAGTTTTCGGGGTCGCTGATTACGAATGTAAAATGAGTTTTCTAAAATTCAAAATGGCGGATCCAATATGGCGGACAACAAAATAAAAAATTGATCAGATTGACTTGAAACTTGTTACGCGGGGGTTTTTGGGGTCGCTGATTACGAATATAAAGTTAGTTTTCTAAAATTCAAAATGGCAGATCCAATATGGCGAACGAATTTTTAAAAATTAACTGAATTCACTTGAAACTTTTTACTCGGGGGTTTTCGGAGTCGCTGATTACGAATGTTAAATGAGTTTTCTAAAATTCAAAATGTCGGATCCAATTTGACCGTCCAATTTTTTAAAATTAACTGAATCGATTGAAACTTGTTACTTGAGGGTTTTTAGGGTCACTGATTACAAATAGAAATTCCGATTTTAGAACAGTCCAGTAATTAGTATTTTAATCTTTTTTTTAATTAAATACATTAGTTTTTACTAATATTTAAACACGGAGAAAAATAGTTAGGTACATTAGCTAATTATTAGTTGTGGTAGCTAACCCAATTGCTATTATATGAATAACAATTATTGTAAGCTAACGCAGCAAAGAATGAGACAAAATTGCTTTTTTTTCGTTTCGTTTTTGTTTTTTCAGAGTTGACTGTCATTTATTAACTTACCACTTACGTCGGTAAATGTAATTTTTTTTACTATCTCCCAGTGAAAACTGTTGTTTGTAATGTCGCATGCCTTAATTCTGAAATATGCATTTCTCATTTCATATTATTTAGGAATTGTTGAAATAAATACCGCCTTTTCTATCTTTTGTTTTATAATAAACTGTTATTTATCATTTATTCGTATACAGTAACAACGCAGGTAAGTGCTACTTTTAAATAAAATATTTTCCTTTAAATTTTTTTTTTAAAAGATGTCGAGTAGGCACAAGGCAAAGCGGCAAAAAGTTTAAGATTGCACAGAAAATGTCGAAATTGAAGAACATGATGAACATGTTGATGAACTCGTGGTTCCTAACCCGAATGATTCTGGCAACTCTGATTGTGAATCTGTTTCGGAAAATGGTGCTAATGATAAAAATTTATCAAATTCAGTTTGCAATGAATGGGATAATATTCCAAAAAATTTGTACCAAAAAGTTCTAGAAAGTTATACTTCAAAACAACTGAAATTGGAGCCTAACCATATTTTTGAATGGGTAGATGGTGAAATGCAGTATGATACACATTGTGAAAATGAAACTTTCCTATCCATCAGTACTGAAAAGCAAATTCGTTCTGCGTCTTCTACGGAACTATTCGAGTTTTTTTCAAAAGATCTAAAAGAATATATATTAGAAGCTACACGAATGAATGGTTGTGATACCACATTAGATGACTTGAATAATTTTTTAGGAATAATAATTTTATCAATTTTTTATGAAAGAAAATCACAGAAAGATTACTGGTCTCACAATCGCCTTTTTGCTTGTGAACCTATAGCTAAAGCTATAAGTCGTTTAAAGTTTCAAAACATCAAGGCAAAACTAAAGCTATCAAAACCTGAAGATGAAAATACTGATGACAGGGCTTGGCGAATTAGAGGTCCTTTAGAAATTTTCAAAAAAACGCGCGACAATTTGGTTATTTCTCTACGGCTTTATCCGTTGATGAAATGATGGTGAAATTTCGTGGAAGAACCATCTTGAAACAGTACATAAAAAATAAGCCTGTGCGTTTTGGGATAAAAATGTGGGCACTTTGTAGTTCTGAAGGTTACTTGTTTGATTGTGACATCTACTGTGGTAAAAATTCCAAAAGCTTTTTTTTCGGTAAGGAAGGGACTTTGAATAAATGTGCTTTAGGAAGCTGCGTAGTTGTTGGCATTCTCTAAAACTTACTTTCTTCAGTTGGACCTAGAAACATTGTAAAATATCATGTGTATTTTGACAACTTTTTTACCAGTCCAGACTTATTGGTTCATCTGAAGAAAGTTGGTTTGCGATCAACAGGAACTGTCAGAGCTAATAGGATACAAGTTTTAAATACAATAAGTGATAAAGCTGCAAGAGGGACATTTATTGCCAAGCACGATAAAAATAGTGGTGTAAACTATATTACAGTGAAAGATTCAAAACAGGTCTCTATTCTTTCAACAATGGCAGGAGTTACACCTTGTTCTACGGTCAAAAGATATTCTTCGGAGAAGAAGAGAAAGATGGAAATAGAATTTCCCAAAGCGTTCACACTATATAACAAGTTCATGGGTGGGGTTGATTTGCATGATGCCCATTGCAGTAACTTGATGCCCTTGCATAAGGTCAAAAAAGTGGACTTGGGTCATACTGATGAGGCTTATTCAAGCATCAATTGCAAATGCAACTGTCATAAGAAACTTGGTGAACCCTGTAAAAAAATTGGAACCAAAGAGTTGGGTTTAGCCATTGCTGAGGCGTATTTGACGAAATCTAACCCAAAATCAAAGTGTCACAAAATTAAAAGAGTTGACTTAAAAAAAATTGTTTAAATTTTACAAAGTTTGGATGTAGAACACAGAGAATGTGCATTGAGTGCAATTTGTACATGTGCGTTTCATGTTTTGATGTTTCCCATTCTTAAAATAAAGATTAAAAAAAAAAGTTTTCTAAATTAAAAAATTTTTTAAAAAATTTTAACCCTCCATCCGTCGCATGGTGAGAATTTCCCTCACCCAGTTTCTTCTTTTATTTATAACTTTTAAAATACAAAAAATTATAATTTCATATTCTCAGTACCTCTTACGGCACTCTTCTTCTTTACATTAAAACAATTTTGGTGTTTTTTTATATTTTAATTTCTTTGTTATTGAATTTGAAAGCAGCAAATGTCGGGGATTTTTGACGCGAAGTGAGGGAACTTCTCACCATGCGACTGACCGCGTATACTCGATTTCATTTGTCATTAATTTTTTATTGAAATAATTAACAGGAAATAAAAGTTAATTTTACTGCCAATAGGTTGTTTAGAAATTCTAATGAGCATTCAAAAAAAAATTTGGCATTTTAGAACAAGTTTAGACTAATTTATGAGGGTGAGAATTGCCATCACCTGCGACGGATCGCGTTACAAAAAAGGTGCGACGGATGGAGGGTTAAAAAAATAATAAAAAAAAGAAGAAGACTCTTTAACATGTCTACCTCCTCGCGGTAAGAGTCGGGCAACGGCGAGACTATCGACGGCTAAGGGACAAAAGGATTTAAAAAAAATAACTTGCTGTTAAAAATTGGCAATAAATTTGTAAATTCGACGGTCAAATTGGATCCGCCATTTTGAATTTTAGAAAACACATTTTACATTCGTAATCAGCGACTCCGAAAACCCCCGAGTAACAAGTTTCAAGTGAATTCAGTTAATTTTTAAAAATTCGTCCGCCATATTGGATCCGCCATTTTGAATTTTAGAAAACTAACTTTATATTCGTAATCAGCGACCCCAAAAACCCCCGGGTAACAAGTTTCAAGTCAAACTGATCAATTTTCTATTTTGTTGTCCGCCATATTGGATCCGCCATTTTGAATTTTAGAAAACTAACTTTATATTCGTAATCAGCGACCCCGAAAACTTCGAGTAACAAGTTTCAAGTGAATTCAGTTAATTTTTAAAAATTCGTTCGCCATATTGGATCCGCCATTTTGATTTTTTTAAAATTACAATTATATTTGTAATCAGCGATCAGAAAATCTCCACCAAATTAATTTTCATGCATGTGCATTTGAGTTTTCATCTATTTAACACGTTGGGACTTTTGTGGACCATTTTTCGAGGTGTAGCCGCCTATTTGTCGACCGCCATCTTGAAATTAAAAATTATCTTATGATACTTTTTGTAGCTGAGGGTCCATAGACGCGATATTTTGAGCTCTCGAGACAATATCCTTTCTTTTTCTATGTGAAAATGTCCATTAAATGAAATTTTTTTCTCGAAAAATAGTGTTTTTTTTAAATTAATCATAACTTTTTTTCATAATTGTTATAAACAAATTTTGACAACGGAATCTGAAAGAGCGATAAATTTTACATTAGGTATGGTATATACTAGTTTTTTAAAGGGTCTTTTTCATACAAAAAAACCCCTCGAATTCAACACTAATATTTCGTCCGTTTGGTCCTTAATGGGTTAATATTGCTAAAATCATTGAAAATTCTTCAGATTACTTCCCGTGGAATTACTCTATGGGGTGCTATCAACACGAATCAAAATTTAATGACACTATGATTCAGCTTTAATGTAGAATAATTGTTCAAATTCTAGAAATAAATGCTATGCCAAATGATGAAAGATACTTCCTTGTCTAGAAATTGAACAGTGAGCAAATTATTATAAAAAAGAAGAAATACCACACATCTGTTAAGGCGTACATGCGTTTGCGAAGGCAAAAATAGTTCTCACTTTAATGTTTTTTTTCACAATTATTTTATTTAAAATATTAAACAAGTTGTTCATTTCATGATATAAAAATTGCGGTTTTGCAAACTTTTGAAAAACTATGTACAAAAGGGTTCGTCCAGAAGATTTGTTAAAAATAAAATTATATAAATCATTTATAATATAATTGAGCAGTGGGAAAAGGAGAACAATGTTAAACTATAAATATGTTCAATATATTATAATTTTTATGAAATTAAAAAATTTTAAATAAATAAATATTTAAATTTAGTTTAATTTTGTTTAAAAACTTTATCATGTATTCTCATTTATTTTATAAAAACATTTATTAATTACAATAAATAAAAAAAATTAAATCAAACAAGTAATAGTTACACTATATATGTAACGAAGGATATTATAGAAACCTATAAAAACATTATTTTGAATAAATAATTATTTATAAATTAATTTCTTCTGTTCATATCTGCTAATTAATTCTTTAAAAACAAATTTTTATAATTTTTATATTCTGAATTTTAATTGAAAAGAATTGACCACTAGATTAGGAATTGTGAGAACCAGCTGGAGTTAAAATATTTTTGAGTACACAAAAAGAGATTTTATTTTTTTACTGAAAACGCTATGAAAATTAATTCAAAAAATATTTTTCCTATAATATATATATATATTTTTATTTTCTATATGTCTTTTTTACGAAAATCGAAAAAAATTAATTTTTAATCGCATTAGCTATATTTCTCGTGTGATCTACGCGTAAAAATACACGTGTGCCAATTTTTAACTCTCTAGATAAAAAAATGTGAACGTTATGGTCATTTTCATAATAGTTTTAATAGAAAGTTTCTACCGGGTAAAGTACCCTGAAAAAAAATTAATTATTCAATTTTTTTATTATAGAATAATTATTTTAAAGTATTAAGATAAAATTTAAAAAAATACAAAATTTCAATTTTTTTATAAAAATCTAAAATATTTATTAATTCTATAAATATTGATAAAATATATACTTTATATTCATGAATCGATTCGTTTTTATGTCAGGAATGCAATTTTGACAAAAATTAATGAAAATTTTAATATAGAAAAAAGTTATTTTAAAAAATCCAAAAATTAATTTTTTCAAAAATTAAAAAATTGTTGAAAAAAATTTTTTGTTTAGATATTTTTGAAAATCCTTCTGTCTGATTTTTAGTATTCATGACCGTAATACACCTACAAAATTTTATCAAAATCCGTCAAGACGTGTAAGAGAATTTGTCCACAAGAATCGGTGACATACACACACACACACATACATACACACATACATCCGGACATTTGTTCCTCTCGACGAATTATATATACTACACTTGAAAATTTGTAAAAATAATTGATTCTAAAAAATTCGGAAATCTACATCACTATAAGGCTTCCTTTATGAGGAAGCAAAACGATTTTTGCACCTTAAATCACATTATAAAAACTACAAAAAGAAAAATGGTTTCGTTTTTTAAATGTTATTTACGATTCGTAGAGGGCGCCAAAAATGGCGATCTCAAATTTGTAAGAGTTTTCGGTGCCCTCCATTGAGCCACTCCTGACAGTCTAAAATAAAAAAAAACAAAATTTATTCCTTAGTATACATTAATATCTAGTGGACTAATATGATGAAATTTCAAAAAAGGAAAAAAACGAATATCATTAAAATGTGTGTCCTCAAAAATGATTTTTTTACAATTTGAAAACAAAAATTATGCGTGTAAACCTCCAAACGCTATTGAAATTAGTTAATTCGTTTTAATTAATTAATTTAACACTAAATTAGAATTAAATTAAAAATTAAATATTTATGCTACACTAACGTCTAAGAGTATCAGGACGATTACACGCGACTTTATGCAAAAACATGCCATAAATTTTTCAATCATATCTCGTCAATAAAAGGATATATAAAAAAATTTTAAGAAGGTTAGAAAGCATAAAAAATTTGCATAAAATAAGCCTTTTTAATTTTTATATATGCAGTGGTAGCCAAATGCCTAACTTGTCATTTGACCAAATCATAATTCTACACAGTAAGAAGGTTCAGAAGGACTCAGCTGTGGAAGATTTGTGTGATTTAGTCAAATGGCAAGTTATGCATTTGACTAGAACTGCGTATATAAAAGTTAAATTTTTTTAAATAAATAGATCCCATCGTTTGTCCACAACCAGATAAGGATTAAAAATTCCTAATTTACTACTAGTTTCTCACAAAAAATTTTGAAAAAACTGATCGATACATATATCGTTAAAAATAATATTTTTTAAAGAAATTTTTAAATCTTATCGTAATTTTTATAAAAAAAAATTTTTTCATATTTTTATTAAAAACTACGCGTGAAAAAATTTTCTTTAAAATAATGTCCAATTTGATCAATTTTTGGCAAAGTTATAAGCATTTCAAAACAAAATTTACGTAAAAAACGTATAACCCTAAAAAATTCCAAAATTGATATAGAAATAATTGTCGTTTATTATCAATTTTTCAAAAATTTCGGATCTAGGAGTGGTTCCGAATCAGACAATATTTTTTCAAAGGTTTTCGACATGCTGAATCCGAATCCGTCCTCAGAATAGACCCCACATGTTAGGTTTTCGAGATATTTTAACCTAAAATTGCAAAAAACCAGTTTTTAGCTATATTTGACGTCATGTAATATCTAGATATAATTTTTTTCCTAAATGTCAATAGAGCATCTAAAACTGCAACTATTCCTTTTTAAAATCCATTTTAAATCTTACGTGGAATAGTAAGTATTTAGTTATACCAAAAATTCGCAGACCTATTTGAAATTTATATCTTTGTAGTTATATTCTTCTTTATTATCGAAGATATGTCTGTTTCTACTCAGTTTTCGAAGAATTTGCCAATCTTAGAAAATTGAATGAACGACTACTCAGAGAAAAATAGAGATATTTTAAATTTTCAAAATGGAGTTTAAAAGAGAATAGTTGCGATTTTAGATGCACTATTGACATTTGGAAAAAGAAATTATCTATTGATGTTACATGACGTCAAATTTAGCTAAAAAACGAGTTTTTGCAATTTTAGAATTTTTTTGGGGTTCTAAAGTAATT